AAAGCATCTTCTTTTAGTGCTTCTAAATAATCTCATCTCTACAGCTGTGTGGACATGTCCTGATGTCTCCTGGTATCGCACTGAAAACAAGGGTCTGCATTGACTGTACAACCAACAAAATGCTGCATTAGAGCCACACCACGACGTCGGCACCAGAGGAGAATACCCTGGAATAAACCTTTACCCACTGCCCCTGAAGTGAAGAAGAAAAGAGGAAAGAGAAGTTTGAGATGTTTCTTTAAAGAAAGCACTAAACTTGGTAAAAGGACATCGCTTTCCTACTTGCTCTCTGCCCCTCATGCCTCAGGATATCATAAATTTTTGATACCAATAAAACAGAATTTTTGATGAGCTGCTATTTTGCATTAAAGCAACTTTACATGCAAAGATTGCATAATAGGAAGTAAAATTGAATTTTGCCTCAGAACAAGTTCTTATTATTAATTTAAATGTTTTTATATATTTTAGCAGCAGCTTATCATTCTATATATTTAATTTCTTTCAAGTGAGAACACTTAGCTTTGGTTTCCTTATCTAAACAAATCTTTTAAGAGAACACATGTATAAAGTGGAAATACAGTGTTTTGCATCTGTGCCTTAAAACAAACAGTGAAACTTTAAAAGAGGAAATAAAATACAGCAGAGGACAGCTATCTCCAAAACCTAATAGCAGCCACCGTGGGGCCAGAGGACGTATCGCTTTCTTTATGTGAAATGTTCYTGCTCTGTCTTCACTGTTTCTGCAATTTTTATTCCAACCATATCGTGACAAATGTATAAAAACTGTACAGCCATAGTGGAGCATTTCGGTTTAAGGCACAGGATTTTGGGGTCTCATACACACCGTAAACCATTTTCTAGCACTTCCATATAGCATGACAGGCCGGACCAGCTCTCAAACATAAATTGCGTCTTCCCTCTCCTGGATGCAATAGCAAGAAACTGTTTTGTAGCACTTTGTGCTGTGTTCAAAATTCACTTCTAAACACTGCTGTATAAAAGCATGAAACGGCAGCACCGAAAGCTTTCCCTCGCTCTTCTTCTTCTCCTTCTTCTTCTTCTCCTTCTTACATAAAACAAAAGTCCGGTGTGGGATCTTAAGAGACCGCTGCATGATACATTATGAACAGCCTAAGCAGGATTATGCAATAAGYTATTTAGAGCGTGCGCGTGTGTGTGTTAACTTCAGATTTACTGTAACCTTAGCAGAGTGAAACGTAATGATAAAAAAAAAGGCAAAGCCTGCTCAAATAAGGAGCAAAATTGCCGTTTTCCCTCGATGACGGGGGAAGGGCTCGTTCGATCACACCAGGGTGATAGCAGAAATTTAAAAGAGAAATAAAATGAAATGAAATGAAATAAAATAAAATAAAATAAAATAAAATAAAATAAAATAAAATAAAATAAAATAAAATAAAATAAAATAAAATAAAATAAAATAAAATAAAATA